GAATGATCAAGACACTGATAAATCAGTCCTAACTGCTCCAAAATGGGCGCGAGAGGTAAGAAATGCAACAGAATGGGGTCATTAATTACACTCATACAAATTAATTTACACAGACAATAACAAATCAGCATAGTTGTAGACTATTTACGAGAATAACGTTTTAAGAATTTTGGTAAATAATAACTGCGGTCATTTTTTAGCGGGACAACGCGCTTGCTGTCCCGCCAACCAAAAGACGGTCAAAATTTCAAAGTGAGACTTATTGCCTTTTGGTACACAGCAAGTCTCACCATCGATCGGCCGAAACGAATTTTGTTACATTTTTCCTAAATATAATGCATTCGTCCATGTCATTTCAAGCAGTACAGCCAAGCGTAATCTGTGAGAGATCTGTCGAATTCTCCCTCGAAACAATTACCTACAGGCCCACGCGCAAACATTTTACACTAATTCTTTCCAGTTTATTTCTATCCACTTTAATGCCATTTTATATTCGTTGTATAGAAATGGTTGCCTAATCCTCTCGTCACTTACAAGGTTGTTATTTAATTATCTTCCCGGAGAGTGAGAGAGAGAAGAGCGCAGTATCATTCGCCGATAGTATCCGGTCCTGACCGTCGAGACGGTGCAAACCGGTTCTGCGGAAGGGGGAGAAACTCCCTAAGGGGAGAGGGAAACATGCAGAACAGCTATCTATGTTCATTTACATGAACTAGGTAGTCTGGAAATGACTGGAATCGATAATTATACACCTATCGCATTCAATCGAATCGCATAAGTGTGAGCCAATCAGAGGATCTTAAATTTCCGTTTAACATTTTGGGCTTTTCGGGCGTTAGCTCAGTAAAACTGCGTAGTTTCTGAAGTTAAGGTGTACGCACTTGAGGTATGTCGTTCAATTAATTAGATTAATTAGTAAGTAGGGACTTTGATTTGATGTTATGAAATGAGAGTCGACATTTACGCATGAATTTACACCTGTGTGTTACTTATGTAAATGGATTATGCTTACTACGCCCAGTGAAATTAGAAACAAACACGAAGTCAGTGTTACTATGATACGTCAGCCAAAACGTATTTCTGTATCTTAAACATCTTTCGGTGTAGCCTGAAGAAGGACCAAAGAATCTTAACAAAGTGAGAGTGTACTGTGATTCTGTTATAATTTTTGTATTGTTTCTTGCAGTAGAAATGGGAAGAAAGAAAAAGTGTTTTGCACCAGGGTGCATGTCTTCCAGTGACCACACTGGAATGAAATTCTTCCATTTTACCAGGAATTCAGCACGGTATGAGCCAGATCTGAAATATTTTTATAAAACATACTGTAATATTTTGGCCAGTGTTATTAAAGAAGCTAAAAATCTTCATTATAATCAATCAATTTCTAATTCTAGTAATAAAATGAAAACCACTTGGACATTATAAAATCAGACACAGGTAGAAAAATTAATAATGCAGGTATACAGTTTTTAAACATTGATGGGAAGTTAACTGATAATCATGATGTTATTACAGATTCTCTTAATAATTATTTTCGAACAATAGCTGGACAACATCAATACCAATAATGTTCATCGACATTTTCTATGATTTGAAGAAAACCTTTGACTGTGTCAATATCTGTCTATCTCTCTGTCTAAAGTAGAATTTTATGGAATAGTTGGTAAGGCCAATGCATTGATAAAATCCTATGTGAAAGATAGGTACTAAAGGGTAAGTCTATTTTACTCATTAGAGGAATAATTTAACTCTAATATTAATTAATGATCTTGGTCTGTTATATGCTGGATGCCTAGTAGTATACTTTTATGTTTCATTATTATAGTCTTGTGTCATAGTGTGCTGCATTCTTTCACATATATATTTTAAAACTGTGTTAATGATTTACTTACTGTGATTTGTCTTTGATAATATGTGTAATTGTTATGGGTTAAATATAAAAATTTGTATTTATATCATTCATTGCATTTGTCCTGTTCTCTTTGACTATTACTATATCCACTCTTCTTCCAGCCATGTAAGGATTAATGGAAAGTAAATAAATGAATGAAT